GAGAGATTACAAATAAAGATTTTAATAGTGGACAATGAAAATCAAAATCAAACAAGGATTTTTACCATCTAAACCAAAACAAAGGAAAAGGTAAATGTGTAAAGGTACTCATGTTTTTTTTTTATATTTTTTATTATTTTAATTTTAAATAAAATTAATTAAAATAAATCTTTCAAATATAAATTGAGATAAAAAATAATAATTTTAAAGCACAATTCAAATTAAATTACTTACTAAAATATTAATGTGAATAAGTTTAATCTTTCTAAAAATAAATTCAGGAGATTTGTACCAAAATATAAATTTAAAACAATAATCTTTTTAAAAATATTTTAATTTTATAGTTCTAAATAAAAAATAGAAATATATTAAATTAAATTTTAAATAATTCTTCAACTATTAATAATTTTTTCATTAATAAATTTATTTTGATAACTTGATTTTTTGAAACATACTAAACTTTTTATTAATAATTATTAACAAATAGCAAGAATTAACGGTTCAAATACTATGATATTATTTTTATTCATCTACCAAGAAGCGAGTAATTAAATACATGTATTTATTATCACATCTAACTAGTTAACATGGTTATTCAATAAAGAATAAATAAAAATAAATAAATAAATTGTAATATATTTAATTAATATGATAAGAAGAAGTTAAATTAATTAGATAAAATAATGAATTATAAAATTATTTTTAATTTAATTTAAATAAAAACAGGTATTAATATTTAAAAACGTTAATTATAAAATAATTAATTTATAAAATTGAAAATAATATTCAACTTTTGTATTGATAACGTTCCATTCAAACAAATGAAAGTATAATTTTATATTTTTATATAACTTCAATTTAGTTTATAGAAATTTATTTTATAAAAAAATAAAAGAAAATGACTAATATCATATTAAGATGATTAAAAAGTCTAAGATAAGGTTAAATCAATAATAAAATATAATACTTTTTACCTATTGTCTAAAGCATGTTCTTACCAAATACAGATAATTTGCATGTAGTTATGGACTATAATTAATTTCTAATGACAAAAATAAACTATCTTATTTAAATTTAGGAATGGTAATGGTCGGAATTCTTTTATTTTGGTTCATCCCACACCTGGTCTGCATAAGAATTGTCAATTAATTTTGTTGATTTGTCTCTCGTATTATGATTGACTCACGGAATTGTGGGTCAGTTTGCATATGTAAAATATTATTATAAAAATTATACATAAATATTGGAACAATAATATTGTTTTAAGGTTTTACATCTTTACTTAATTCCATAAATTTATAACTGATAATAAAATTGAAATAAGCTAAGTAAGAATAATATTAACATCTAGAACAAATAAATATATCACCGTTTAAATTTTCATAAACACAAAAGGATAAAATAGAATATTATCTAAGTCACAAAAAAACTATAATAATTAAGTCATCCCCAGACAAAAATAATGACTTAGGAATTTAAACATGAAGCTAAGAAATAACAAAATAAAAGAAAATAAAAAATTCGAGATGAAAATATGATGAATATTTGCTATGGATTATGCCGATTAGTTCGTCCAGCTCGTCGTTGACCGACACATTACTCATTGTCATCATATTTAAATTTGATGTAAGTTTAATTTTACAATTTTAACATAATTTTAATTTAAATAACACCATCTCATTATCATAACTGAAATCAACATATGACAGGTTTTTCTGGTGGCTAGCTTTCGCACACACTGTTGTAACTGTAAGATGAGGTTCTGCCTGTTTTTTTTCTAGATGATAGGAAAGAGCTAACAATGTAAAGAGTAATTCATTTTATAATATAAGTCGAGAAATTTACCAAATATGCAGTGTGCTTAATTTCAGGAGATGGAATATTCTGACAGTGATCTAGTAGGAGAAGAAAGCAAAGGTTTGGGTGGGATTTGTAAGGAATCCATGCTACCTTCTAACATATCAATCACTCTGCTCATTGTAGGTCTATCATTAGGAAACGTTTGAGTACACCATAAACCCACCATCGCCAACCTCTTTGCAATCTCATTTTCTTCTGCTGTCATCTCCATATCTGGTCTCAAATCATTGTCCAACTCAAGTTTTTTGTGTGCCCAGTGTGGGAAGTATATCTCACTTGTATTACTTGCTTCACCATTGATGTTTTTCCTTCCTCCTACCATCTCCAGCAGCACCATTCCATAACTATAAACATCAGACTTATTCGAAACTCTTCCAAAATTTCTGCTCCACATTTCTGGAGCTACATACCCCATTGTTCCTCTAGCATCTGACAAGGAAACAATACTTTCATTCCTAGGACACAGTTTTGCCAACCCAAAATCAGATATCTTTGCACAGAAGTTCTCATTCAGAAGAATGTTATGTGGTTTTATGTCAAAGTGAACAATTCGAGTGTTGCATCCCTTATGCAAGTATTCTAAGCCTCGAGCTATGTCCCTTGCAATTTGATATATAATATTCCAACACAAGGGTGGAAGGGTTTCATCCCTTGTTGTGTAAATGAATTTGTCAAGGGAACCATAGGACATGAATTCATAGATGAGAGCTCTCTTGTGACCTTTCAAACAAAATCCAAGAAGAGAGACAACGTTAACATGAGAAGTTCTACTGATGCTGGCAACCTCATTCATAAATTCTTCACCATTTTTTTTGGATGCACTCAACATCTTTACAGCCACAAGACTACCATTGGATAACTTTCCTTTGTACACTGCACCAAAACCACCTTGTCCCAGCTTTACTCTGAAGTTCTTGGTCATTTTCTTAACATCTGATAGTTTATATCTTTTCAGAGCTAGAGGGCCATGAATTTTAAGGAATGCTTCGATATTTTTATTACTTCTTGAAGCCAACCCAAAATTTGCTTCCCATATTGGTGACTTGTATCTTACACACAAAATTGAAATTAATATCAATACGGCTGCAATTGCTGAACTTGTAACACCTGTTAACACATAAATAGGTACAGCTGTGACCATTTTACTTTTGAGGAATGTTTTCAATCTCTAATCTCTCAAATATAAATAAAAAGACATATGGTTAGTGAAGTTAAATATAAACAAATTTTAATAATTCCAATTGTATGAAAATTTATTAGATATCGATAACAAATATTTAATGGAAACTATTAAGATAATTTAATTGATCAGAGAGAATACACGTAAATATTTTTTTTCCATGATTAGGATTATACAATTATGGAGAGACAAGGGAGAATCACAAGACAATAGTGTATGTGTCATAAATATTCAAGGAACTATTGAATGGTAAAGTATAAAAGGAAATTTAGATTTATTACCTAAAATAATGAGTTTCCTCTTTGGGTTCCAAATTCCTGCAAAAGTAGATGAGAAAACAGGAATTCAACAGATTCCAAATATCCAAAGGAATCATTCTATGAACTGAGTACTTATTTTCTTAACACAAATCAAAACACTTTGATTTTGACAATTGTAATACAAAGAGATGCATTCTTGTTTAAAAATCTAGTGCTTAAAATTTAGGCATAGCTTAGTTACCGAAACAACAAAACCAATTCCTGGAAGAATACGTGAAAGTTTAAGGATTATAAACAGATTACAAACACATATTTGTAAACGAAAAATATGCAGTCAACTGCAGAGTCTGGTCAACAAAAGCAAGTAACTAAAAAATCTCCCAGTTATTTTTTAGTAAATGTGTAAGCTAAAATTGAAAAGAGAAATGTGCTAAAATCAAGTAANGTTTATGGTGTACTCAAACGTTTCCTAATGATAGACCTACAATGAGCAGAGTGATTGATATGTTAGAAGGTAGCATGGATTCCTTACAAATCCCACCCAAACCTTTGCTTTCTTCTCCTACTAGATCACTGTCAGAATATTCCATCTCCTGAAATTAAGCACACTGCATATTTGGTAAATTTCTCGACTTATATTATAAAATGAATTTCTCTTTACATTGTTAGCTCTTTCCTATCATCTAGAAAAAAAACAGGCAGAACCTCATCTTACAGTTACAACAGTGTGTGCGAAAGCTAGCCACCAGAAAAACCTGTCATATGTTGATTTCAGTTATGATAATGAGATGGTGTTATTTAAATTAAAATTATGTTAAAATTGTAAAATTAAACTTACATCAAATTTAAATATGATGACAATGAGTAATGTGTCGGTCGATGACGAGCTGGACGAACTAATCGGCATAATCCATAGCAAATATTCATCATATTTTCATCTCGAATTTTTTATTTTCTTTTATTTTGTTATTTCTTAGCTTCATGTTTAAATTCCTAAGTCATTATTTTTGTCTGGGGATGACTTAATTATTATAGTTTTTTTGTGACTTAGATAATATTCTATTGGAAAATGATACTTGAACAACCATTTTTGACAACATTTAGACACGCGCACACGTGTCAAAATCTGAGTGGTCCATTTTCATTTAATTTTTCCAACTGGACCACTCAGATTTTGACACGTGTGCGCGTGTCTAAATGTTGTCAAAAATGGTTGTTCAAGTATCATTTTCCAATAGAATATTATCTAAGTCACAAAAAAACTATAATAATTAAGTCATCCCCAGACAAAAATAATGACTTAGGAATTTAAACATGAAGCTAAGAAATAACAAAATAAAAGAAAATAAAAAATTCGAGATGAAAATATGATGAATATTTGCTATGGATTATGCCGATTAGTTCGTCCAGCTCGTCATCGACCGACACATTACTCATTGTCATCATATTTAAATTTGATGTAAGTTTAATTTTACAATTTTAACATAATTTTAATTTAAATAACACCATCTCATTATCATAACTGAAATCAACATATGACAGGTTTTTCTGGTGGCTAGCTTTCGCACACACTGTTGTAACTGTAAGATGAGGTTCTGCCTGTTTTTTTTCTAGATGATAGGAAAGAGCTAACAATGTAAAGAGAAATTCATTTTATAATATAAGTCGAGAAATTTACCAAATATGCAGTGTGCTTAATTTCAGGAGATGGAATATTCTGACAGTGATCTAGTAGGAGAAGAAAGCAAAGGTTTGGGTGGGATTTGTAAGGAATCCATGCTACCTTCTAACATATCAATCACTCTGCTCATTGTAGGTCTATCATTAGGAAACGTTTGAGTACACCATAAACCCACCATCGCCAACCTCTTTGCAATCTCATTTTCTTCTGCTGTCATCTCCATATCTGGTCTCAAATCATTGTCCAACTCAAGTTTTTTGTGTGCCCAGTGTGGGAAGTATATCTCACTTGTATTACTTGCTTCACCATTGATGTTTTTCCTTCCTCCTACCATCTCCAGCAGCACCATTCCATAACTATAAACATCAGACTTATTCGAAACTCTTCCAAAATTTCTGCTCCACATTTCTGGAGCTACATACCCCATTGTTCCTCTAGCATCTGACAAGGAAACAATACTTTCATTCCTAGGACACAGTTTTGCCAACCCAAAATCAGATATCTTTGCACAGAAGTTCTCATTCAGAAGAATGTTATGTGGTTTTATGTCAAAGTGAACAATTCGAGTGTTGCATCCCTTATGCAAGTATTCTAAGCCTCGAGCTATGTCCCTTGCAATTTGATATATAATATTCCAACACAAGGGTGGAAGGGTTTCATCCCTTGTTGTGTAAATGAATTTGTCAAGGGAACCATAGGACATGAATTCATAGATGAGAGCTCTCTTCGGACCTTTCAAACAAAATCCAAGAAGAGAGACAACGTTAACATGAGAAGTTCTACTGATGCTGGCAACCTCATTCACAAATTCTTCACCATTTTTTTTGGATGCACTCAACATCTTTACAGCCACAAAACTACCATTGGATAACTCTCCCTTGTACACTGCACCAAAACCACCTTGTCCCAGCTTTACTCTGAAGTTCTTGGTCATTTTCTTAACATCTGATAGTTTATATCTTTTCAGAGCTAGAGGGCCATGAATTTTAAGGAATGCTTCGATATTTTTATTACTTCTTGAAGCCAACCCAAAATTTGCTTCCCATATTGGTGACTTGTATCTTACACACAAAATTGAAATTAATATCAATACGGCTGCAATTGCTGAACTTGTAACACCTGTTAACACATAAATAGGTACAGCTGTGACCATTTTACTTTTGAGGAATGTTTTCAATCTCTAATCTCTCAAATATAAATAAAAAGACATATGGTTAGTGAAGTTAAATATAAACAAATTTTAATAATTCCAATTGTATGAAAATTTATTAGATATCGATAACAAATATTTAATGGAAACTATTAAGATAATTTAATTGATCAGAGAGAATACACGTAAATATTTTTTTTCCATGATTAGGATTATACAATTATGGAGAGACAAGGGAGAATCACAAGACAATAGTGTATGTGTCATAAATATTCAAGGAACTATTGAATGGTAAAGTATAAAAGGAAATTTAGATTTATTACCTAAAATAATGAGTTTCCTCTTTGGGTTCCAAATTCCTGCAAAAGTAGATGAGAAAACAGGAATTCAACAGATTCCAAATATCCAAAGGAATCATTCTATGAACTGAGTACTTATTTTCTTAACACAAATCAAAACACTTTGATTTTGACAATTGTAATACAAAGAGATGCATTCTTGTTTAAAAATCTAGTGCTTAAAATTTAGGCATAGCTTAGTTACCGAAACAACAAAACCAATTCCTGGAAGAATACGTGAAAGTTTAAGGATTATAAACAGATTACAAACACATATTTGTAAACGAAAAATATGCAGTCAACTGCAGAGTCTGGTCAACAAAAGCAAGTAACTAAAAAATCTCCCAGTTATTTTTTAGTAAATGTGTAAGCTAAAATTGAAAAGAGAAATGTGCTAAAATCAAGTAATATTTTGTGGCTATGAGGGAGAACGCCAGAATAATTGGATGATTTGGTTTCAGCACCAATTTTGTAGAAAAAAAGTAAATGAATAAGCCGAGAAACTAAAGCTTATTGACAGGGAAAAAGCACATTTAAGCTTCTGAAGTTTTGATTTTTATACATGAAAATATCATAAAATTTAATTTAATTTTGATTGATCTAAAACTTTATCCTCTGTATATATATTGATTTTTAATTTTGTTTCAATTAATTCTTAAATTTTTTTAATAAATACCTGAAAGTTTAATTGTGTTATAATTATTTTTTAAGACTAAGTAATTTTTTTGTAAATAATATTTTGAAAACTTTGAGTTATAAAATAATAATAACACCAGCAGCAGTTTAATAAAAATATTTGACATAAAGAAGTTTATTTATAAGAAATATACATTAAAAAATAATTATGATAAAATTAAAATTTTAGGTGTAATATATATAAAATAAAGATAACAATTTAAGAATTAATTAGAACAAAACTAAAAATATATTGATTGGATAAAATTTGAAAATCAATTAAGAAAATTAGATTTTGAGGTCTGAATATTTATAGAAAATGGTAAATTTAGAGGATCAAATTTTCTTTTACTTGAAATTTAAAACTGCAAATATAACCATAATGACTTGTGTGATACTATTTAGTTTCCAAGTCACAATTTTTTTTTATCTTAGATAAGCTTCAATTTTTATTTTAAAATATATTAATAATGAAAAAGATTTCCTATTCTTAATAATGATTACTGACTGAGGGAGATGCACAACAAAAAAAGAAAAAAAACAGAGAGAAGACTTACTTGTTTCGGGAGAACACTGTTCATTTGGGCAATAGTAGTTGCATGAAACTAGATGTTCATCATAACCATTACCATCTGGCGAGCAACTTTCGTCACTTTCTCTGCATCTTGTGCAACCATCAGGAATACTACTATAGTTGACCTCAAACGGATCATTGAGAGCTTCTTCCAGAACTCCAGCACCGTCATCAGTATCCTCGTAACGATCCAGAGGACGGGAAGCAGGCACGTCAAAAGTTTCCCCCTTGCAATCCTTAAGCGATGGGTATCTGTCGAGCATCTCCTTTTCTGTGTACCCCTCTTCAAAATAATACAGAACATCCCCGCACTTAAAACTGCGTTTTGAAGGGAAATCTGGGATTGTAGGACAATCTTCGTATATGATGATTTTATGCACTGACGCGTTATGCAGGAACAGAGTGCTGTTGAAGTTCTCGTAATTGAGAAAAAAGTGAGGAGAACAGACATGGTTGACAGGGGCTCTTAGCATCACTTTCATGGTGTGAGTGGTATTGTCGATATCCTTCACTGTGAAATTTTGAGATCCATAGCCACTATGGCAGCTGAGCAGGGATGATGGGTCGGCGCCGTTACATTGAGAGGGTGGAATCTTTTCCCAGGGAGGATCGAAGATGGCGGAGACGCTTATCTTGCACCGGTATAACTGCTCTGCACAAACCGGTGGCGACGGCGATGGTTGAGAGTGGGAACGTGGCAAAGCGATGCAGAGGAAAGAAGAGACGGTGAGGGCGAAGACAAGGGGAGTGGTGTGGACGTGACTGTGTTTATGATCCATTCTCACACTTTTTCTCAGTTCCCTTCCAACCCTCTCTCTCATAAATCAAAGCTACTGAAGCAATTTTTGTCACCACCCCATACCTCTGCGATTTTATCCACTCTATTTTATTTAGTAAGGTGGAAAAGTATTAAGTTCACCTTTGCTTTTAAAAATAGTTTGATGGTGTCGGGTCTCAATTTAATTTATTTAAGAACAATTATTAATAATGTTAATGGTATGGTTACGCGTTAATTTATAAATTAAAAAATTTTAACAAAGTTTTTTATTGTCATGTATTAAGTTTTTGTTATTACATGTGACAGCATCTGAAAAACAATGACACTTCTAAGTAGATATATCAATGGTTGTTTGTCATAATTTTAATTTAATATATATATCGACCCTGATATTATCAATACATGTTATATTAGACCTCACAACAACAAAATCTTTTGAAAAAAAAAATTAAAAATTAAAAATTAAATTTTTTTATAAATTAAAAGTAACGTGTCATTAATGTCATTAGTAATTTTAAAAAGGAAATGTGATTAAAACATTTTTTTCACAAATTCAAACATGATTGAAAAATTATTTTAAAAGTAAAAACCAGCCTAAATTTTTTTACCAAAACAAAAATTAAGCGAATAATTAAGCCAAACAAAATACATTTCAACAATTCCAAAACACGACCCAGACTCCCAATCTCCCTCTTTTTCAGCTCAATTTTACTAATTAAGCACACCCAATTATACATTCTACTTAGATTATCTCGCCTCCCCGTTTTTACTTATTCCACCACACTTTATTATTTCTATCCCTTTTTCAAATCATTTACAAAACATTCATCACATTTCTCTATAATTAATCTCTGCCCAAAACCTTTCATTCACATCTCTTAAATCTCTCTTGCTTATTTTTGCTTTTGATCTTTTCGCTTGAAGGTTAATGGTTATTTGGAATAATTTTTCTGTTATTAGATTTCTCCATAAATTTGTCTCCAATCATATCATGTTAATATAATGTTAATATTTCTGTGATCAACTTGGGAATTCAATTGAATCTAAATTCTATATTAATTAAAGATTAGAAAATTGAATATATGGATAAAAAATTCATAAATGTACTATTTTATGATTTTTTGTTGAAAAGTGTCAACCTTTTATGTTAGATTATGCTCATGATTTATAATGTTGTATTTTTTATTGATTTTTTTGAAAAACTTATCATTGATATTATAAACGAAGATTCGTCTTGATGACCAGTTTAAACAAGTTTTCGTATTGATAAGTGTGAAAAAGAGTTGTTTTTATACTTATAAATGAATAAAAGGCTAATCCCCTTAGTCAATTTAATATACAATTGCATTAAGTTGATGATGTTACGAATGATCAAGTTATTGAGTCTATCCCCTAGATCTCAAATCACTTAAGTGCGCTCTACTACGTTCGTTCATGTTCAAAGTGACTTTCCAGTAATCAAAGAATTCAAATAACATTATATTTTCATACAATGAGAATAAATTTCAGAAAGACTATGAACGAACAACGTCATATTTGAACAGGAAGGAAAAAAATTGCATCACAGTGAGTTCATTACATCCAATCCCCAACGAAAGGAAAGAGAAATTTATTTAACTACTCCTCGTCATTAAAAGTACAAGTTGAAAGCAATCACTTGCAACAACAATGGTTTTGTCTTGATGCCTGAAGTAGTCTGGGAAGTTCCTGCGATGTTTTCGTTGTTCTTCTGTCCGGACTTCTATCCACAAAAAAAAAAAGAGGAAAATGTTTCTGGCGCTCTGTCACGTTCTTTTAAAGCCCACTTAAATTCATTAATTCGTTAGCGCCACATGTTGATGGTGAGCTATGCCGAATTATTTTGTTGTAACCGTGCCCTATAACTGATGTTATTCGCCACAGCGCACAGTAATGGGCCTCTATGCGAATTTTCATTCCTGGCAGTGAGGAAAATTTTGGCTTGCGCTTTGACGAAAATTGGCTGACAGAATGACAGAAGCTAAATAACACCATGCCCTGTACAATATTTACATAACAATCTAAACCTATTACAACCTTTCAATGGGAACAACATGAATAATTACAAGATTGGT